TGAAACATTACGGGCCAGAAAACTTGTCCGTACCAGATGAAGCCTTCTTCCTTCAGCGACCAAATGGGACCTTTCCCATCAACGACCAAATGTGGCTTCGCTGGGGATTACCCAGAAATCCCAGCGACGTGCCCCCAACGTTTTGCCCGTGAATTCGAAGGCTTTGTTTGTAGATGAAGAGTATAAAAGTGACACCCAGCGTATACCTGTTCTGGGCCTGAGTGCCATCCTGCTACGATTCTTCTTGGATTCTTTACGCGTTTTTGTGTAAACCTTTGGATCGCGAGTATTTTCACGCATTTTGGCAAGATTGTTGGGAGTTTCAAAGTTTGACCACTTGTCAACTCTTGTAAAGCAGCTAAATCTCATACAAATACTATTTATCTTGGTGGCCTGATGAATTGATTCACCTTCAGTAGAGTTCGCAGTTTTCACCAGAGTGAGGTATGTAGACCAGAACTAGTGAAGCAGCAGAAGTGCAAAATCCCCCGCTCCCCTGTCGTTGAACAGCACCCTCCTAAAAAGTTCGCGATTTCGGAGTGTATGGAGTTATTTCAAAGCATTTTCGGTGTAATAGCGCTCAAAGGGCGTCATTGTCTGACGTACATGCTAAAAATATTGTCTCTGTCAGCTGAGCGTCGAACAGCGTTTAATATAATGTACAGTAATGTTTTGGCCCTCTCATCATTTGCTCATATCTTCACATTGTGGAGAATCACTTGCACTCTGAGAGTAGTGAAACCCGTCACTGGTACATATCTGATGGGATTAATAGGGTTCTATTCTGATGTAGTGCACTGGTTTCTACTCTTTGATCGTCAGTTGCGTTGTTATTTCGAAATCACTTGGTTTGTAGTAGTGTTTCTTATGAATATCTAGGAAGGGAAACTTTTGCTAGTTTCCACCATTTTGCCCTAAAAACGTACATTCCCTTAGCTACCGTAACCTTGATTGGTTGTCTCAAGATAAATAGGCTTTTTATTGCCACCTCAGGAATTAGTTTAAACTTTGACGGTGAATTAATTTCCGCGGTATTTGGGCGTCATAAATAAAAACTCTGAAATGTATAGGAATGAGTTTCTGTAGGTTTTCTCATGGTAGACTAGTTGCCGAAAGAGGATATTTTGCTTTTTTTTCTACCTTACTGACCTCTTTGTAAGGTTGTTTGAAGAGACCAGGCTGCGAGAATGCTTAGCAACCTCGGACTGAACTTCACTTATTTTCTATGCTCAGTAGGTCCGTTATTGTATAAGCCTATCGCGTTTAATATGCTACTACGATTCTGAATGGAAGCAAAAGGGGTGCCACATCTAAAAAAGGGTTTAATCAACAGCGAAGAGTTTATCTTTTTCAATTTTTTCCCCTTCCGATGAGGCGCAGGTGGTGTAGTGACAAGTGGCGCGCTTACCACTCGCGCGGCGCCGGGTTCCCGGGTCGACACCCGCCCAGGCCAACCAAGCCTTCTACCCTCCGGGGACGGTAAATTGGTACCAGATTCGTCTGGGAGGATAAAACACTGACTTGTACATCGGCTGGCCACCGCAAGTCATTGTATAGGCCACATCGCATTCAAGCCACTACGATTCTGAATGGAAGTAGAATGCGTGCCGCATCCCACAAAGGGATTGATCAACGGCGAAGACTCCTTTATCCTTTACCCCCTTCGGATTGTCTTCTTATTCGGCCCTTCTTTGATTCTCCAAACAAGGGTCTATCGGCTGTGGTGCTCGCTCACCTTACTTCACCTTGCTTAGCTCGCCCAACGATGTTTATGATATGTGGCTCGAAGTGGCTCCTTGAGTGCTGACTTGCTTTTTTTGCTTTAGCACGGTGCTTGACGTAAATGCTGCATCGATCCCTCTTTCTGAGAGTTAGTTCAACAAAGCTTCGGTTGAGAAAGACACGCACGGATTTTTGACTTGAACTTCAGCTGGTACTGTACTTTTCGTAAAGTGTATCAGTTACACCTTGAGTTACACCATGAATCAAGAAATTAATTGGGATGGTCGCATTATAAGAACAGTTATTACATTATCGTTGGAGCTGAACACAATCCACCAAGCTTCCCTGCGAGAAATGATTCTTTCCGGGTTTAGCTGCAACCTTGTGGGTTACCCCTTTTCTGTTTTCTATTTTCGACGAATATTGTTGATGCTATGGCAGATAAATATGACCGGAGTGCGTCCTGCCCTTGGAGAAAAATTTCGCGGGAAACGACCCCTTCTAAGAAGTTCTTGATCTAGCACGACCGTTTCCTTCATCTCCCCATTTTCCTCCTGTCGTCCCGCTGACGTGGAGGGGGTGATGGAACGAGGGTGAGACCTCCTCCAGCGATAAAATATGATCCCCTCTATGGAGATATACCGTTCTGTACCAGCACTTTGGTAAGAGAGTTTTCGTTCCCACACAATCTTTTCCATCCCAGCAAATCTTAGCTACCATCTCCCTAAATCTTCCAGCTTCCTTTCACTTCTTAAAATTCTCATTTTTCCAAAAGTAACTGCGGTCGAAGGGAATACCGTGCACATGAGTGGGAAATATCCTCGGCGATAAGTCGACAACCAACAAATATTTGTTATTCGACCTCTCTCCCCTTCCCCAGCAACCAAACACGATCCCCTCGCTGGGCCTCCAACGTATGACATGCACTGAGTTTGGTTTTATAAGAAAGAAAAAAGCAATCCTATTGCGCACTGTTATTTTGCATTGTTTTCTTCATTGCTGAAGAGATTCCACACGTTCCGACGAAATTTGGAATACGCGCCATGTGCAGCGTTATGAAAGACTTTCTTCGGTCTCAGGATATTTATCCACCGCAAAGCTTTTCTCCTTCTTCCTTCTCCTTCCTTCCTCCCTTCTCTCGTCTCTCTCATTATACACTCTTCATATGCCAAACCAGAACGTGAGATGAGAAAATACCTCTGAACCCTTGCAGCGAAAGAACATCTGGTTACGAGATGCCCTGGATTATTATTCGCATGCGCTAAAATTGCTTGCGGAAAGTTGAGTTTGTTGAGTATTCGTGACTCGTTTCTGGTAACCTAGGAAACTGGTCAGTTCTATCGAACACAGACTCTACACGTATTGTTGGCGTTTGATTAGGTGTTTCATAATCTTTAACGGAAAGGAATATGACGTGACCAAATTAGAGATGATTAGTCTGGTGCAAGACAATTTTGATTTCAGTGCTCTGTGGGACATCGAAACTGGACAACAATGCACGGCGTTTACTGGTCACACCGGAGATGTCATGTCATTGAGTCTTGCCCCTGACATGCGTACATTCATATCAGGTGCCTGTGACGCTAGTGCCAAGGTAATTTTTTTGGATTCTCTGAAATCACTTGGGTTAAACCCACTAGACTGGCATGAAAGTCCTGCATTACTTCGAAATAACCCCTCATTCTACAATCTTATGTTTAAAAGGCTAGGCTGCGTTCATTCACTGGGATATCCATGATCTTGGTCAGGAATGATCCCCAGTTGGTCACCACAACGCTCCCGAACGGACGATATTTGGGTTTCTTCACGTTGTCCCTAGTTGTAACGTCGGCATGATGTCGAATTTTCATTAACTTCTGCCAGACGATGTTGTTAGGTGGAACCTTTTGTTGGCCTAACAGTTCCGAGCTTTTCGTTCCAGAAGCCTAAAAATGGCTCGACGCTTTTGATCTTGCTGAAATACGCCAAACAACGCGCTCTCCACTCTATCGAGTTTAGCCGATATGTGTCTAAAATGCGCTTCTTACAACTTGTCGGGCTGCAAACAGTTCACCGAAAGGTTTCAGAAGCGTTAGGGATACGGCGTCGGAGCGCTAATGTGGGGAAGGCGTTTGATTGGGTAGTTTTCAAATTGAAAGCTCCGATCCATTTTCATATCTGATCCTTTCAATGAACAAGTCTTTACTAACAAGACCTAAAACGGCTCAAGAAGCTCCTTTCTGTAATCTACCTGGCCAGGTGCAGGTGTCCTCTGTAACTCACAACGAAGTGGTTCAAGAAAGGGCGCTTAACATTACGCAACGTGTCCGCTCAATGCATTTATCCCGAGCGATGACCTTGAACCGAACTCGTAAAATAGTGCCGAGGCTGATTAATGCGTCTGACCTGAGCGCAGAACAGCGGTACTTCTTTTTCTTTGGCCACTTATGAGAATTTCTGTAAAATACCCTCCTTCGTCCCTATTCAGAATTTCGCTCGCTTGGCGGACGGATCCTCTTCCGCATCCCGCAGACGTTTCCTAACTATTTTCTGCGTGTTCTCCTTGATGCTTCTCTCCCGACCTTCTCACTAGTTGTCTTTCCTTCCCGCCCTCTCTACTTCATCTCAATCAATTTTTTCGATTCCCCGCTCCAAGAAAGAAACTACGCGTCGTAGCCACGAAAAGCCAACTGGCCCCAAAAATGTTGTCGGCGCCCGGCGAAATATGGGGGCTTACTAGGAAGGTCATCAGGTCAGAGTGGCCATTGGTAAGTAGATGTAAGCTCACTAGACGTGGATTTGGACTCTGATCTGGAATCTGCCTTCGAAATTTGCAGAACGATTCTCTGAAAGGAATTATGATGACTTGTTAGAATTAAAAAGAAGGAAACAGAGTCGAGCGCGGTTGCTGGCCAATTCGTGATGAATAAAGCCGGGAAGGCACGCCTGGCCGATCAGAGGCGGCGTGGTGTAGTGTGAGGTAAGTGGCTTGCTTCGCGACAGCGCGCCCCTGCTACTGAAGGCGTTCGAATTCTGGAAGTAACGGATTTTGCATTTTGGTGGCTGAATGTCTCTTTTAACAGTCTAGAAGACAACACTCAAGCGTCAATGGGTGCCATATTCGTGCCTTCAGAAAATCCAAAACCTGAGCTAACCTTGGAGACAGGTTTCTAGCCAGATGTGAGGTTTTGACCTAACTTTGAAAAGTGCGGTAGCAGTTGATCGAATGATGGTCACCAATAGTTCCAGGGCCAGTCTCTTGTCTGTTGCTTGTCTTTGGACAAAATTTGCTTTTAGATACCAGGACGGACGGAAAACTGGAGCGAGTAGAAATAAATCGTAAATGCGCAAGAAGAGAGGAGACGAGGCTTTGAGCAGGAGAATGTATCTGCAGCTGAATAGGTGTTAAATTAATTGAACTGACTCATGGACGCTTCACTTTCTGAATTCGGGTTGAAAATGCCAGATTTTGGGCTAGAAACTCTACCTAGGCGAGTTCGCGCCCGATATAACTCGGTCATGGGCACCTTGCTCAGCGCGAAGAACGCTAGCACTCCGCCCCAGGGCACCCTGCAACACTCATAGGAGTGCTTAAGGTCGTCGAGTCTAAGCGCCGGCCATAGCGAAGCACAACTTGTTTTTCAGGCAAGTGCAAGAAGGAGCGCTAAGTGTAGTAGACAGGACGCTACAAAGAGCGGGTCCATTTTTGCCACGATTGTAGCAAGCAAGAAGCAGAAAATGTTAAAGCTCAGGCAGGCGTCCGCGGATCCCAGCGACCGTCGTTTGGCGATGCGTAGGAACGACGATGACGAGTGGAAATCTCCATGAACTCCATTAAATTCGTTCGTTGCAGAAGGTTTCGAAGGCAGATCGAGAGTGGCAGCGTCCAAGGAAGCACGTCTAAGTGACACCCTACATCTCCATAGAACAATAATGGGCCACTTCCAGTGACTGACGACCTTCCGCATAGCTTGGACAGCGAGCCCCTGTCGAAGCGTCGAGCAAATGCGGCCCACCCATCACCCTCTCCCCTCCAATGGGAGTTTTCCAGCGTTGTGAATGCGCGCGTGAAACAGGAAAAATCAACTTTCCAAGAAATTCTCAGGCAAATACGATCCCCCTTTCCCACTGGTTGAGTACGCCCTCCTCCGCCCTCCTCACTGAGGATTCCCCAACGAGCGGCGTGCCATGGGCAGTGACCTATAGTAGTAATGCGCTTCCCGTGATGAAGATGATTGATTTGTTGCATGAGCAAATTTCATGTGGGGAAAATATGAACTAGTTGCACCTGAAAGGAACCTATGTTTTTTTTCTTCGACTTTGGGGGAATTTCGCTGCAAACATAGTTACTGGTAATAAGGGCGGTGATGCCTTACGTGAGCGATGCACCAAAATGCCACGACGTTGTTGAAGGACCAAATGCGATCGCCCTACCCCCTCGCTGTGGATCATCAACTCGTCGTGGGCCCAATACATCCCTCAAAAAACAGAAAAAGAAAACATATGGGTTGACGTCAACCGGCAAAGAAGCACCGCTTCTTCTCATAGCAGTTGCCGGAATTCCAAAAGAACGGTGTCGAAAGTCTTCTCAGCGGAGTCGCTGCTATGCTTTTGACGAACTTGTTGTTGATTGGGATTCTCATTCAGTAGTGGAATGTTCACTCAAACAATCCAATCGAAGTTTTGTAGTACTTTTCTTCCAATCTGTAATCTCAGGAGTCGTAATTAATAATCTGACATCGTATCATGGTGTAACCTTACAGCTATGGGACATCCGAGACGGTATGTGCAAGCAAACATTCCCTGGTCACGAATCGGATATCAATGCTGTTGCTGTAAGTGTTGTTTTCTAGGGTTAACGCCGTATTATGCTGTGCTGGATTTAAATTTGTGTTCAGTTTTTCCCTTCTGGTTATGCTTTTGCCACTGGATCAGATGATGCCACTTGCCGTCTCTTCGATATTCGTGCAGATCAGGAATTGGCCATGTATTCTCACGATAACATTATTTGCGGTAAGCTTGGCGTTCGTACGTGTTAACTACCTCATTTATGAACCCATTCAAATGCATGCACTTTTAAGGTATTACTAGCGTAGCTTTCTCAAAATCTGGTCGGCTGTTATTCGCTGGATATGACGATTTTAACTGTAATGTCTGGGATTCAATGAGGCAAGAACGAGCAGGTAAGACGTTTCGCACTTATTGCGCCCGTCATTATTAGAATTGCTAG